GGGGGGGCCGCCAGCCAGTGGCCTGGTGGGTTCCGGTCGATGGGTGGCTGCCCTTTTGCTCTGCCTGGAACTGTGGCACATGAGGTGAGGCTGTTTTGTGAGACTGCCCAGGCTGGAACAGGCTTCATGTGGCTGCCACTTTACTCCAGCTGGAGCCAAGACTGCAGTACTAAAAATACCACCACAGGCATCCTCTGCTCCAGTCCCGGCACACGGTCCCACCCTGCGAGCAGCTGAGGCCAGGACTGTGGTACTAAAAATAGCACCGTGGCCCCGGCTCCAGCCCCCACAAACTGCTTTCCACGTTGAAGGTAGAAAGTTAGGGAAGGGGCAGGGGGAGAACTAAGGGGATCGGGGGCAAGGAGAAGAAAGCACTTGTGCTGAAAGGTGAGGAGAGGGCTTGGGCAGGAGAAGAAAGGGGCAGGCACCAAGGGACAGGGAGGATTGAGGTTCAGGGCTTCTCTTTGGCCAGATTTACTCTTCTGGGGTTCTGAGCTTAGTGGATTTTATGGAACACCCCCAGGTTTTGGGGTGGGGACAAAAATGAAGCATTCATTTTGCAGGACAGGTTGCAGTGAGTGGGATAGGAATGGGGGTGCAGGATCAGGGCAGTAGGTGGGGTTCAGGAGGGGGTGAAGGTGCAAGGTCTGGGTGGGAGGTAGGGTGCAGGAGCAGGCTAGGAGTGTGGTCTCTGGCCAGGGAGAATGGTGAAAGAGTAAGGGAGGGTGAAGGAGCAGTAGCAGGGGGTAGAGTGTCTAGCTAGGGAGGAGGGTACAGGAGTAATCTGGGGTAGGATGTCTGTCCAGGGGAGAAGGTGCAGAAGTAGGCTGGGAGTAGGGTGTATGGGTAGAGGGGAGTGTTCAGGAGCAAAGAATGGAGCAGGAGCAGGTAGGGGGTAGAGTGTCTGGCCTGGGGAGAGGGTTTAGGATCAGACTGGAGATGTGGGGATGAGAGGAATGGGGCTACAGAGTATGGGCATGAGGGGAACAGGGGACTTATCTGACTTTGTACCACCCTTCGCTCCCAGGCACCGTGCCCGGGCACAACCTCCCACTGCTCCCATTGGCTGGATTCCAGCCAGTCAGGGGACGGGGAGTGGAAGCATGCAGAGCTGTTTCTGGCACCACTTCTTCCTTGCAAGCCAGATCTGGCAGGGAGGCTCAGTGTTTTCTCCCTATCCCAGCAGGCAGGTGCTCCAACCTCACAGGGGGGGAAGCAAAGTGTGAGCACCAGCTTGGGCTCCCTGCTGCAGGCAGCGGGAGAGAGGAAGGCAGAGGTAACTTTGAGATCCATTAGTGAGTGCCTGGGGAAGTTAAAATGTTCCCTAATATCTTAGC